GTCTCCCTGTAGCCCCAGCTGGCCTGGAACTTGCTATGTAGACCAGGCCGGCCTCAAACTCACAGCGATCAGCCTGCCTCTGCTTCCCGAGTGCTGGGATTAAAGGCGTGCACCACCACACCCGGCTAATAAAATATTTTTTAAAATTTATTTTTATGTGTATGAGTGTTTTGCCTACATGTATGTAAGTGTGCCATGTGCATACAATACCCACAGAGGCCAGAAGAGGGCATCAGGTCCCCTGGAACTAGAGTCATGCTTGACTGTTAGCTACCATGTGGGTACTGAAATTAAGTCCTCTACCACTGAGCCATCTCTCCAGTCCCTTACTAATTTTTATTTATTTTATTAATTTATTTTTTGAGACAGGGTCTCCATGTAGCCCCAGTTGGCCTCTAACTCACTATGTAGACCAGGCTGGCCTTGAACTCACAGACATGCAATTGCCTCTGCCTCCTGAGAGCTGGGATTAAAGGTGTGTGCCACCATGCCTGGCTCCACCTTACTAATTTTTGAGACAGGGTCTTGCTGTATAGCCCAGACTGGCCATGAGCTTGAGATCCTCCCGACTCAGCCCTCCAAATGCTGGGATTACAAGTGTGCACAGCCATGTCTGTGGACTTCATTCTTCATGACTCAGTAAAACTCCATTAAGTATATATACCACATTTTCTTTTTTCTTTTTTTCTTTTTTCATTATTATTATTGTTTTGGCCTTTTTTTTATGATGCTTGATAAATATTGATTGGGTGGATAACGAAGCTTGTTGTCTACACCCCATAGCTGCCAAAGCCCACCCTCATTGCAAACAGAAGCCCACACCCCACTCCCTTGTCCAGTCAAGCTTCTGCGGCAACCTTCATTCAGGAGAAGTGGCCGTGGCTATAGTCATGGATGCTTGGAAAAGCCACCTCAGGGAAGGTGTCCCTTTAACTGCAGGTGTTTGTTTCCTTTGGCATGGCAAGATGTCATTTCCCATTTTTAGAACAATGCTCCAAAGAACAGTCACAAAAACAACCTTCCGAGGCCGTAGCTTTCTTCCTGGCCACTGCTACAGCCCTAGCATTCACCAAGGCTGGGTTCTGAATCCATCACTGCATAAACCCGGTGCGGTGGTTCACCAAACCTGTAATTCCAGCACTCAGGAGGTGGAGGCAGGAAGATCAGGAGTTCAAGGCCATCCTCACCTACACAGCAACTTTGAGGCTAGCCTCAGTTATCCTCAGCCTCAAGAAAGAAGAAAGAAGGAAGAAGCTATTTTGGCCTTTTGAGATAGGTTCTCCCTGTAGCCCAGCTCACCTGGAACTCACTATATAGACTGGACTGGCCTAGAACTCACAGAGATCCACCTATCTCTGCCTCTGAAGTGCTGGAACTAAAGATGTGTGGCCCATATCACCATGCTTGGCCCACATTTTCTTTTTTTATAAAAATTTTTATTTTCATTTTTATGTGTTTGAGTGTTTTGACTGAATGTAAGTGCACCTGTGTTGTGTAATGCCAGTGGAGACCAGAAGAGGGTGCTGGATCCCTTGGAACTGGATTTATGGCTGCTTGTCAGCTGCCATGTGGTACTGGGAAATGAACCCAGGCCCTCTGCCAGAGCAACCAGTGCTTTTAGTGCTAAACCATCTCTCCAGCCTGTTTTTTTAGTTTTTTGAAGAACCTCTGCTTTCACATGGTCTTGCTATGTAGCCTAGGCTGGAGAACTTGAGATCCTCCTGTCTCTCACTCAGATGAAGGATTGTAGGCATGAAACTGAATATTAATTAATTAGTTTTTTGAGACAGGGTCTCACTCTGTAGCTCAGGCTGGCCTGGAACTCACTATGTAACCCTGGCTAGCCCCAAACTCATGATAGTCCTTCTGCCTCTGCCTTCCAAGTTTGGTATTATAGGTTAAGTCACTATGCCCAGTTTATTCTTTCCTTCCTTCCTTCCTCCTTTCCTTTCTTTTTGGATTTTTTTTTTTTTTTTTTTTTTTTTTTTTTTTTTTTTTTAAAAAAAAAGGTAGTGCTGAGGGTCTGGCCAAGAGCCTCATACATAGTACACACATGCTCTACCACTGAGCTATGTTCCCCAGCCTTAATGTTTCCGTTTTTTGTTTTGAGACATGGTCTCATCATATTATCCAGACTGGTCTTAAATCCCAGACCTTGAGAGAAGTCCTGTGCTCATCCTCCTCAGTGGCTGGGATTTCAGGTAGGTGTCACCAGGCCTAGCTCCTCTTTACTGACTGTGGCAAAGCCAGCCCCACCCCAGGCCTTTGCTTAAGCTCTTCCTTTGCTTAGAAGGGTTTTCCCAGACAGCTGTATAGCTCGGCCCTGGCTTGCTTTCTGAAGTAACCTTGCCTGGCATATCTCTAGCACCTAGAACAAGGCTCGCTGACACTGCACACTGTAATTACCTGAGGAAGGGATACAGGACCCTTGAGGCGGGAGGATGGCCTCTGCCGCACTCTCCCTGTCCAGGAGGCTCCAGGCGGCCCCTTCTGCTCTGCAGAGGGCCTGTTTTGCCCTCCCTTCTGTGAGGCGCCAGGCCTCTCTTTCCCACATCTCTCAGCCACTCCGCCCCATCAGCATCTAACAAAAACTCTTTTGTGATTTTATGCCTGGGGGAGTTCATGAGTCAACTGGCTCTGGCGACTCCAGCTCAGCTGAGTCCAAAGGTCTGCTCAGCATTTCCAGTGCCACCGCCAACACCCCTGCGGTCTGAGGACGCAGAGCCCCACCCCGGGGAGCCGGCCACACCGCCTCTGCTCGGGCACGGTGCACTGGGGTCTCCGGGAAGTAGAGGAGTGAAACCAGAAAAGCTAAGCCTTATACTGTCAACTCGCAGGAGCAGGGAGAACAGCCACTGTTGCAGCCAGGGAACCTGGAAGGCTTGGATCCTGAAACTAGGAGACCTCAGGTGTCTGAGGCTGCAGGCCCTGGAAGCTGGGGGTCAGCCAACTGGAAGGCATACATGCTTGGCTTTCTCTGGGCTCCAAAGTGGGTCAGTTACTTATTAAGTGCTGGTCATTTGCTTCCTGGATTGTCACAAGAGATGGCAATCTGACCTCTTACAATCCAACTTCCTACAATTGTTCCTTACAGACCAGAGGCTCCCCTGGCAGGTGGCCACAAGGGCCTCAGGTTGGGGAAAAGTTTTTTGTTTGTTGGTGGGGAGGAAAGGGGTAGGAGTTTGAGACAGGGTCTCCCTGTAGCCGCAGCTGGCCTGGAACTCACTATGTAGACCAGGCTGGCCTTGAACTCATAGAGATCCGCCTGCCTCTGCCTCCTGAGTGCTGGAATTAAAGGCAAGTGCCACCAAACCCCAAATTTTAAAAAATATTTTATCTGTATTTTATGTGTATGAATGTTTTGCCTGCATGTATGTAAGTGCATCACATGTGTGCAGTGCCTGCAGAGACCAGAAGAGGGCATCAGTTCCCCTAATGGATTGTTAGCTGCCATGTGGGTGCTAGTAGTGAAACCAGGTTCTTCTGCAAGAGCAGCCAGTGTCCTTAACCACTGAACCATCTCTTCAGCTCTCTTCCCAAAGGGCTTGATTTTCTTTCTTTCTTTCTTTCTTTCTTTCTTTCTTTCTTTCTTTCTTTCTTTCTTTCTTTCTTTCTCTCTTTCTTTTCTTTCTCTCTCTCCTCTTTCTTTTTTCCTTTCTTTCTTTTTACTTGTTTATTGTCTTTTTTGAAACTGTAGCCCCAACTGGCCTGGAACTCTCTATGGAGACCAGGCTGGCCTAGGTCTCAAAGAGATTTGCCTGCCTCTGCCTCCCTGAGTGCTGAGACTAAAGGTGTACAGCACTATGCTGGCAGGAGAGCTGTATTTTTAACGTTTTGGTGCATTTATATGTTCAATTCCTCACACACTCATCCTTTTTGTTGTTTAGTCTATGTTAATTACTTGTAACAACAGATTTCATTAGTTCATTTCCCTGCATCTATATAATGCATTTTGATTGTATTCAACCCCTTCCGCCCGCTTGCTATCCCCTTTCTCTTCTACATGCATGTCTGTTTTTTTCCAGATGACTCAATGAATTTCATTAGGGTTTCTCAAAGGAGCATGTGTGAGGGGTTATTGACAGGAACATGGCACCTTACCAGTGTCACACTACTGAAGAGCATGTCTCTCCCTTCCCCCAGCAACCATTAACTGTCTATGGATCCTCAGGAGGGTTGGACCTTGTAAGCCCCATGCCCCACCCCCCTTTTAAACAGCTTTGCTATATAGTCCAGGTGGCCTTAAACTCATGGCAATCCTCCTGTTTCAGCTTCCTGAATGCTAGGATTATAAACATGTCCCACCACACACATCATTCTCTCCTACCTTCCTTCCTTCTTTCCTTTTTTAAATTTATTAATAGGTTTTGTTTTGTTTTGAGCCAGGGTCTCCCTGTAGCCCCAACTGGCCTGGAACTGGCTATATAGACTAGGCTAGCTTCTTTCTCAGAGAGCTCTGCCTGTGTCTGCCTCCCAAGTGCTGGGGTTAGAGGCTGTGCCACCGCACCTGGTTGTATTTATAGTTTTTTGAGACAAGGTCTCATGTAACCTAGACTGGCCTCAAACTCACTATGTAGCTGAAGATGACTTTGAACCCCTGATCCTCTGGCCTCCATCTAAATCTCAGGACTACAGATGCCACCACACCTGGTTTATCTCTGTTTCTTTCCTGCATGGAATTTGACTTAGACCTCAGTCTTGTAGCTCTGCCACTGGGCTGCAGCCTCATCTCTTCAGGTCTCTTTTCTTCCGGTCCTTTAAGTGTATGCATGCTTGGGCTAGGAGAATCATGGAGTGTGTTCTTTCCCCTCTATCAAGGCTGTGAAAGTGTACCTGCCCTTGTAGCACATATATGAAAATTGCATAGTGATATAGAGAAGATTCCAAAGGCTACTGTGCAAAGATAACACACCAGCTCCTGGAGTGTTTCCTGTTTCCTTTGTGATAACATTGAAGTGTGGATGATGTCTGTGTGTCCGTGCATTTCTGCATGTCTCCTGTTCAAGTCTTCACTCTCTCTCCTCCTTCCCCTCACATTTTTGTATCCTCTTACAGTATTTTAAAATATCAATTGGGCCGGGCGTGGTGGCGCACACCTGTAATCCCAGTACTCAGGAGGCAGAGGCAGGTGGTTCTCTGTGAGTTCAAGGCCAGCCTGGTCTACATAGTGAGTTCCAGGACAGCTGGGGCTATAGGGAGACCCTGTCTCAAAAAAGACCAAAAAAAAGAAGAAAAGAAAAAAAAATACCAATTGGGCATAGTGGCGCACGCCTTTAATCCCAGCACTTGGGAGACAGAAGCAGTCCGATCTCTGTGAGTTCAAGGCCAGCTTGGTCTACATAATGAGTCCCAGGACAGCTGGGGCTATATCTCATAAAACAACAAACCTCCAACGAAATAAATGCAAACGCATTCTCTGTATGATGAATGGGAATAGCAGGCCCAATAAAGAGCAAGACTGTGGGAGGTGAGACGTGACCTGTGAGCTGCCTGTGCACTGCTGTGGGTCAGAACTAGGAACTCTAACTAGGGGATCCTAAAGGCTCTATGACCCCAAATTCAGATTTCTGTAGATGAACATTGGGCAAGGGGGGAGCTCTTGTCAGGAAATACTGCACACACAGCTGAGGGCCCTAGGTTTAGTCACTTCCTCTCTCTGCCCCTCAGATCTTCAGCGTATAGAGCTGCAGTGAGAGATTTGCCTGTCTGTGAAAAGTTGCTTTGTGAGTTGGGAAGAGTCCAGTGTGAAAGGGAACCTGTTTTCCTAAATCCAGGAGCATGAAATTCAGCCCTGGGCAGTGACAGTAACCATCTGAGAATGTGAGTCACTGCCTTGGGCCCTCAGAAAACCCTAAACTGTTATGGAAAAATTCTTGGAACAGCTAAGAGAACAGCATTCACCCAGGAGAGACAGAAAGGTCGCTTATTCTTTCTCATGCAGAGGTCCCAGACTTAGCAACCAAGGTGTCCAGATTTACAAAAGTACAGATGAGGATTAAATAGGCATTTTTACATCATCGTTTTATGGATGACACCTAAGCCCTATGTTTCTTTTCATGATGGGCCATGTTATCTCTGAAATATTCCTTCCTGAGTTCACCTGGTCATCATAGCTTACAAAGTAGATATCCCAGGCATGTTGGTCAGGTCATCTGCACGGTCTGATCTACAGCTAGGTTAGGCTAATTGGACTAGGAATCAGTCAAATGGTCATTGCAGTTTGAAAAACAGATATCACTGACAGAAGTTAAGATATCTGTCATGTTTGAGCTACACTTTTCTTGGACTGATTGGATCAGGTGCCTCATTAAACCATTTGGTGAACTTTCCATTCTCTTAGTTTTACATCTTCATCAACAGCTAGACATAGCGAGTGGAAAGCATCAGAGAGCTTCAAGGTATTACAAAGTAATAAAACACCACAGAGCCATAAAATATCTCTGAGCATCCCGGGGTTACATTTCAAAATATCTACGTAGTAAGTAAAACAAAGAAAACTTCAAAATAGGATTTATATGAATACAGAAAGTTCTAAGAATATAACTTTTCCTTATCAAAACAACCATATGAAGCAATTGTTGGTATAACTCCCTCCATTTTGTTTTGTTTCATTGAGGCAGGACTTCAATTATCTATGTAGTCCTGACTGGCCTGTAATTCACTATGTAGCCTAGGCTGGCCTCAAACTTGTAGCAATCCTTCTGCCTCAGCCTTGTGCCACTATGCTTGGCTGTTATCTCCCATTTTAAATATTTTATTATTTTTATTTTATGTGTATGAGTGTATCGCCTGGATGTGTATAAATGCACCTGTGTCATGCAATGCCCAAAGAGGTCAGGAGAGGGTGTCTGATCCATTGTGCCCAGAGAACGGATCCCCAAGAATTACCACGGAGTTCAGAGAGCATGCAAGAACAAAGAGTCTTTATTTGTGGTAGGTTTGTCTGAGAGCCCAAGCTTAAGCCTGAATAAAGACTCTTTATTCTTGCATGCTCTCTGGACTCCGTGGCAATTCTTGGGGATCTGTTCTCTGGGCACAACATTTGGGGGCTTGTCCGGGAGCCCCAAGACCCCCCCCCACTGGACCCCAGAGTGCAGAGTCTACCTGATCCGATCGGTGAGTGTCTCTTGTCTTTGTGTCTTTCATTCTTGCGTGCTTCTGGTTTGTTTTTTGGGCCCAGTTTCAAGATTGCCTGTTGGAGGTCTAGGCAGATGCGCTGGAAGTCCCCAGGCCGTGGGACTCGGGAGACTACTGGACCCACCTGATAGGACTGGATTCCCTTGGTAGACTTGGAAGGATGGAGTGGGTCGCGCCCGCCAGGAGGCAAGAGGCCATCATCCTGTTTTCAGTTTAAGGCGCCAATTAACCGTGTGTTATTTTTCTGTGTGTTTGTGCTTTTTGTTGTGTTTGTGACTCTTACTGTGTTGGAAGAAATGGGACAGAACAAAGTAACTCCTCTAAGCCTTTTTCAGGATCACTTCTCAGAATTCAAAGCCCAGGCTGATAGCCTGGGATAGGAGTAAAGAAAGGGAAGCTCTTTGTGTTTTGCAGGAATGAATGGCCAACTTTTGGAGCCAGCTGGCCTGAAGAGGGAACGTTTGACCTGCCTACCATCTACAGAGTAAAGGATATAATTTATGGCCATCCAGGCCACCCTGATCAGGTCCCTTATGATCATGATTTGGCAAGTTATGGTGGAGGAGCCTCCAAAATGGTTAAAGCCATTCCTTCCTCCTCCCCCAACTGGCTCAAAGCCAACTGTCCTCACCCTGCACGAGGATGAGTGGCAGAGAAATGAAACTAAACCCTCCACCCCCCTCTATCCTGTTTTGCAAGGAGGCACAGGGGAAGAACTCCTGCTTGAGCCACCCCCCTATCAGCCTGTCCCACAAGCAGAACCTCAGGACATTCCGGGGGAGGTGGAGGCAGCCCCACCCTGGGAGGCAGAAGGACACCCTCTCCAGACACGGAGGAGACTCCAAAGGGGGCAGCCATGGCTGGTGGCAGACTCTACTGTCCTCCTCCGGCCCGTGAGGCCCCTCAATGAAGCAGGGGACCAGCAGATGCAGTATTGGCCATTTGCAACTAGCAACCTTTACAATTGGAAGTTACAGACAGCTAAATTTTCTGAAAAGCCTCAAGGTTTAATTGATTTGCTAGAGTCTGTTTTGTTCACCCACCAGCCCACTTGGGATGATATTCAGCAGCTTTTGCAGGTCCTATTCACCACTGAAGAAAGGGACCAGATCCAGGTTGAAGCCCGCAAGCTGCTCCGTGAGGTGGATGGGAATCCTACCACCAATCAGGCCCTGATTGATGAAGCCTTCCCCCTGGTTAGGGAAAATTGGGACTTCAATGTGGCTGAAGGTAAGGATCCGGGTCTACCACCAGACTCTAATGGGGGGGTCTCTGGGTGGCCGCAAGGTGACCAACCAATTTGGCCAAGATTAGTGATGTGCAGCAAGGGAGGGCAGAATCACCCGCAGCATTCCTAGAAAGGATCCTTGAGGCGTTCCGTACCTATACCCCAGTGGACCCAGAAGCACCCGAGAATAAGAATGCAGTGATCCTGGCATTCATGAACCAGTCAGCACCCGATAGTAGGCTCAAATTGCAGAAATTGGACAGACTGGCTGATAAAACCTTGCAGAACTTCTGGTGGTGGCTGAGAAAGTTTACAATCACCGAGAGAGTCCCGAAGACAAACAGGCCCGGGTTGCCGCCACTGCCAGCGCCAAGCAGACCCACGACTTTGCCAAGATTCTCCTGGCCACATCGACCAGGTCCCCAGGTGAAAGAGAACACCAGCTGCAACACCTATCTGCTGAACAAGGTAGGAAATGCCAGAAGGGTGACCAAAATTGTTGAGAAGCCAATGCGCCTATTGTAAGAAAATGGGCCATTGGAGAAAGGAATGTCCAGAAAGACCGGCCGGACAGGAGCAGGTCTGTAAAGGAATACAGGTCCTGGAGCTTGGGGAATGGAGCGAATAGGGAGGACGGGGTTCAGATCCCCTCCCCAAGCCAGGGTAACTCTCAGAGTGGAGGGGACACCCATGAGTTTCATGTAGACACAGGTGCTCAACATTCAGTGTTAACAGAGACCCAAGGGAAATTATCAAACAAAAAGTCCTGGGTACAGGGAGCGACTGGCATAAACCAATATTCATGGACCACCCAAAGAAAAGTGGACCTAGGCACGGGCCGGGTGTCCCACTCCTTCCTAGTCATGCCAGATTGCCCCTACCCACTCTTAGGTAGAGACTTGCTCACCAAAATTGGAGCCCACATCCATTTTTCACCTAATAGGGCTTATTTAACAGATCAGGGGGGCCTCCCCATTCAGGTATTAACCCTACAGTTGGAAGATGAATTCTGCTTGCATCAAGGACTTGCTCCACAGCTGGAAGAGGAGGTTTCTGTCTGGCTGCGGGAGTTCCCCTTGGCATGGGCCAAGACTGGGGGTGGGTAGGACTAGCAGCCCACCAGCCTCCTGTCTGGGCAGAGCTGAAACCGGGAGCACTTCTGGCTCTGGTGAAGCAGTATCCCATGTCCCATGAAGCCAGGTCAGGGATTACCCCACACATCCAGAGGCTAAGAGACCAGGGCATCCTAGTACCCTGCAGTCTGCATGGAATACACCTCTCCTTCCGGTAAAGAAGCCAAACTCAAATGATTCCCAGCCAGTACAGGATCTGAGAGAAGTAAATAAGCAAGTCATGGATATCCATCCCACAGTGCCCAATCCCTATACCCTCCTGAGCTCCTTGCCACCCTCCAGGAGCTGGTATACTGTACTAGATTTAAAGGACGCCTTCTTTAGCCTTCCCTTAGCCAAGGATAGCCAGCCATTCTTCACCTTTGAATGGCAAGATCTGGAGATTGGCTTCAATGGAAAACTGACCTGGACTCGCCTGCCTCAGGGATTCAAAAGCTCACCCACTCTCTTCAATGAGGCACTTCATGAAGATTAGGGTGAGTACAGGCTGGAACGCCCCCAGCTCACCCTATTGCAGTATGTAGATGACATCCTGATAGCTGTTGATGACGTGCTACTATGTCAGCAAGGAACTAGGGATTTGTTGGCGACTCTGGGCAGGCTAGGATATCGGGCATCCACTAAGAAGGCACAAATGTGTCATCCAAAAAGTGATTTATCTAGGGTACATTCTAAAGGAAGGACAAAGATGGTGCACAGATGCCAGGAAAGAAACGGTGCTGAAAATTCCAGTTCCCAACTCCCGGAGAGCAGTGAGGGAGTTTCTGGGATCAGCAGGGTTTTGCCGCCTCTGGATCCCGGGGTTTGCTGAATTGGCTAAGCCTCTCTATGAGGCTACAAAAGAGAATGGGACTTTTGTTTGGACGGGGGAAAGAGAAAGGGGCTTTAACGATGTGCTGGATAGCTTTAGTGTCAACTTGACACACCTGGGTTGAGGGAGCCTTAGTTGGGGAATTTCCTCTATTGGACTGGCCTGTGGCCATGTCTAAGGGGCATCTTCTTGATGAGTAATGAGGGAGGGCCCAGCCCACTGTGGGTGGTGCCACCCCTGGGCAAGTGGGCCTGTGTTGCATAAGAAAGCAGGCTGAGTAAGGGCCAGGGAAGCAAGCCAGTAAGCAGCATTTCTCCATGGCCTGTGCTCCAGCTCCTGCTTCCAGGTTCCTGCCCTGTGTTCCTACCTTGGGCTCCCTGATGAACTGTGACCTGGGAAATGTAAGCTGAATAAACCCTTTCCTCCCCAAGTTGGTATTGGTCAGAGTGCTTTGTCACAGCAATGGAGAAACAAACCAGGACAAACAAAATTAAGCAAGCCCTCCTGACGGCCCTGGCTTTGGGGCTTCCTGATGTCACCAAGCCTTTCCACCTCTACGTAGATGAAAAGAAAGGAATAGCCAAAGGAGTCCTGACTCAAACGTTAGGACCCTGGAATAGACCAGTGGCATACTTGTCTAAGAAACTTGATCCAGTAGCCGCAGGATGGCCACCGTGTCTGCAGATTATAGCTGCTACTGCCCTTCTAGTCAAGGATGCGGATAAATTGACATTAAGGCAAGAACTGCACATCACCACTCCTCATGCTATTGAAGGAGTTCTTAAGCAGCCACTGGACCACTCGTTGAGCAATGCCCGAATTACCCATTATCAGAGCTTACTTCTTAACCCTCCAAGAATTCGGTTCCTCCCAAGCACCGCCCTTAACCCAGCCACCCTGCTGCCCGACCCCGACTTGGACACGCCCCTGCACGATTGCCTGCAGGGATCCTGAGCCCGGTACATGGGCTCAGAAACGACCTGACTGATCAGCCACTCTCCGATGCAGAAGCTACTTGGTTCACCAACAGTAGCAATTTCATGAAGGATGGGCAGAGGTATGCAGGGGCGGTGGTGGTAACTGAGACTGAGACTGGGCAGCAGCTTTGCCTGTGGGGACCTCAGCTCAGAGGGCCGAGCTGATAGCTCTGACTGAAGCTCTTAGGCTTGGAAAGGACAGGTGGCTGAATGTGTACACAGACAGCCGATATGCCTTCACTACGGCACATGTGCATGGAGCCATCTACCAGGAAAGGGGGCTGCTCACAGCGGAGGGAAAAACTATTAAAAATAAGAAATTCTGGACCTGTTGGCGGCTCTATGGCTACCTAAGAAACTGGCTATTATCCACTGCCCTGGGCACCAGAAAGCCAACATGCCCATAGCTCGAGGAAATCAGAGAGCAGACTGGGTTGCCAAAGAAGTAGCTTTGGAAGCTTTCCAGATTTTGCCAATCCAACTGCCAGACCCTGCCCCCCGCCTCCATCCTACCTGATCAGCCTCATTACTCCCAAGAGGATATGAAGCTGATACACAGACTCCCCATGACCCAAAAGATCGATGCTTGGTGGCATACAGGAGACTGTAAAATTATTCTGCCAAACGACTTAGCCAAGGACCTCCTCACATATCCACCGAACCACTCATCTGGACACCAGGAAAATGGCTGACCTTTTTAAAAATGCTCATTTAAAAGTCCTGAATCTCCACCCACTTGTTGATGCAGTCGCCTCTGCATGTTTAGTTGCAAGCTGACCAATGCTGAGAACCATTCTAAGGAACAAGGGGCTCGGATGAGGGGCTCTAGACCAGGGGTCCACTGGGAGATGGACTTTACAGAAATTAAGTCAGGCAAGTATGGTTACAAATATCTACTAGTTCTGGTAGACACTTTTTCAGGATGGACTGAAGCCGCATGAGACCACTCAGGTGGTAGCCAAAAAGATGCTGGAGGACATTCTACCAAGGTATGGCATACCAGCCCTTCTGAGCTCTGACAATGGACCAGCCCTCGCTTCTCAGGTAACCCAAGAATTAGCTAAGATATTGGGGGCAAAATGGAAATTGCATTGTGCCTACCACCCCCAAAGTTCAGGACAGGTAGAGAGGTTGAATAGAACTCTAAAAGAGACCCTTACTAAATTGACCATGGAAACTGGCAGGGACTGGGTGGCCCTCCTTCCCTTCGCCCTTGTATAGGGTGCGAAATTCACCCTACTTGTTAGGATTAACCTCCTATGAAATCATGTTTGGAAGATCCCCTCCTATCCTCCCCAATTTAAGAGCTGAACTAATTGCTGAATTTGATAACCGTCAGTTGCTTAATTCCTTAGGAGTGGCTCATGCACATAAGGATGTGTGGCTCCAACTGAGAGCTATCTATGAGACAGCGCCTCTTCCCACTCTGCACAATTATCAGCCAGGTGATTGGGTCTACGATAGGCACCACCGTGAAACACTCGAGCCCCGCTGGAAGGGCCCTTATGTGGTGCTCCTGACTACACCCACGGCAGTCAAGGTAGACGGAATTGCTACCTGGATACATCACACTCATGTCTGGAGAGCTGATCCACACCCCGACGACCCAGAGGACCCTCAGGCCCCAGCACCAGGACCCAAGGCATGGAAAGTTCACCAAAATGTGGACAATCCTCTCAAGTTAAGACTAAGCCATTCTTAATTCTTACTATACTGTTATAAGTGTTTGTGGTGCCAACCCCCACCACCCCTTTAATTCAACCTGGCAACTTTAGATGTTAACTCTATGAGGGTCCTGGCCCAGATGTCCAAAGTAGTTC